GTTAATTACAGGTGTGTTTTATTACAGGCTTGTTTTGCACCAGAGGGTGACAGCTAGAGCTTCTTTTCTGTTATATTTGCCCGTTTCTGGTTGACTTGCAGGTTTGGATTTTTCTTTCCTATAGGAGCAAAGCTGTACAGGATTTTAAACCAGTCACAGCATCCTGAAACTTTCTAGGTTTCCAATCCAGACTGTCAACTCTCCTTCCTTGCCAGACACGTGAACTTACCCAAGATGCAGACAAAACCTACTCTTTCCTTGTTAGACCTGCCCAGTCCCTCAGAAAGTTGGAATCAACTCTGTTATGAGAACAACTTGCAGCTCTTCTTTCTGAACAGACACTCAGTTCAGGCTTTCATGGACGTCTGCTTTTCCCCCTGCATCACCCTCCTCCTCCGAGTGGTCGCCCCCACTCAGCACCACTGTACACAGCACCAGCAGAAAGCGCTTGATAATCACAGTGCAGCACGTGATTATCACAATCACAGCACGTGCAGCTTCCACAGAGGATCGTGTTGAGTTTTTAGCTTCAGTTCGCCCCCTCGTGGACTTACCTGACCAGAGGTGCTTATAAATACCTATTTCTGGTGGAGATGAGCCCCACGGGCTGCTGCTCCTCTCTCAGCTTTCAGGGGCTTTGGAAAATGGGGGCAGCCAGGCAGACACAGCAAGACCCCACAGCTACTGCACAGACACAGCCTAAATCACAGCTTTCTCAATAACACCTCACACCTGTATTTTGCTCTGCAGAGGCTGAGGGGAACAAAACAGATGGAGTGTGTCAGACACCCGTACAGCACAGCTGGACACACAGCATAGGGTGTACAGACGTACAGCATACACACACTAAGAATGTAAAATCAGCAAAGCTTTCTTCTACACATTTCTATACAGTCGAGAACGACGCTGCCCTTCACATTATGAGTAATGCTACCAATCCCTTCGCCTCCAGATAACTTTATCCGATGCTGGTTGAATTTCGGGATCCAGATGGGAGGTTGCCAGGCTGAGGTTTGCATCCTAAAGTCGAGGGTACAGCAAGATGAGGCAGACCTTTAGCCATCACTTCTCCGCCTCGCTCCTTCCTGTCTCTTAGGGACGTTTCTGCCTCTTGGTGTGAAGAAAGCCTCACAACAGCTCGCTGACATTTAACTTCAAAGTCTGACTTAACGTCATCCCAGGGTGTAATTTCGGTTTCCTTTCACTGACAGTCATCAGCGGTGCTAATGGGGAGGGAGTTAGAGCAAAGGGAGGGGGGAAACCACGTAAAGGATGCCAAGTCACATCCTTATTTTCTGGCTGGAAGAGGAAACAGTGCAAAATAATATGGGAATTCAGGAACAACAGGAATAATCTCAAATATAATTCAAGCAAGGAGATCCCTGGAACCTCCAATGAACATATTTTTATCCTCACTCTAAGGATGAAAAGGACTCCTGAAGTGACCTACCGTTGCATGCAAATAAATACTCAGTGGCACTCATTCACTGCTCTGGATTGGTGACTACTAACTTCTTGATCACCACTATTTCTCCTGCATATTTGCAACTGCAGTTTTAATCACCTCTACAGTATTTTTCTGATAAACAATAAGAACATGTACATAATCTAATGCCCTACTAGATGTGTCTCTCACTGTAATTTGGAAAGATGTAGTTTTAAAAACATCCTCAGCTTCCTTAACATAAATACAAAATAGTTGGGGGGGGGGAGGAAAAAAGTGTCCTCTGATATTGAAACCACAGGACCTACTGCTTGGCATATAAGCCACAGAAACCAGACAATTGTTAGTCATGATCATTTTCTTTTACAGCTCGAGACATTTCCCTCATGGAATAAGTGAACTAGCTTTTCAAAACTACCTCTGAGTGTAGCCAAACGTAGCCATCTACTCGGCATCACATACGCAGCAACTCCAGTTTCCATTTCAGACATTCCAAAATACTGAAAATCAAGCCAGAATGTCCAATTTCCCTGATTTAGCGTCCAACACTTGCTAAAATTTCCAGGAAACTGATATTTATACAAACTGTGCCAAAGCTACTCTGTACAAAGTATTTTCAAGTTGCACTTTGGAAAGAACTGTGCATTGAAGCAACAAAGAATAAAAACCATTCCAAATCTATAACCCAAAAATACATCAAAAATACATGCTAATTAATTGTATTCAAGACAAACTTTGCTTGTGTGTCTCTGCTTATCAGTAATCTTATTTTAAATACTTAAAAAACATTTAGAGACAATTTTGATTGTAAGAAACCACCTGGGTAGCTGCAAACATGGTTGAATACTAGAAGAGTAAATTCTAAACATTTCTCAGGATATGCATGTGGTTCTGGATATCTGACGCAAAGAAATTAATTATAAATTAAAAAAAAAGATAAATCAGAAAACCACTTTCAAACATATGATGGAAAATGACTGGCTGCAATAAGAGACCATGTCGCATCCCACTAGATGGAGCTATGGGCCTTGACTACAGAGCCTAGAAATCTGGTCAAATATTTCACTAATCCCAGTGGCGAAGGAAAACCATTTACAGAAGTCAAGTTCATTTGCCTCTTTCCTATTGCACATGCAAACCCGAGCTGTCGTCCTGAGGCATTTATGCCTCACAGCAGTATCTACGTAAAGCACAGGCATAAGATGTGCTGTGCTAGGGACATCATCGGTAAGCCCAAAGTAGCTAGCTAGAAACCAAGTAAAAAAAATTAATGGTTTTGCATATTAAAAGACCACAACAACAAACAATAGGAACAAAGAGAATCAACCAGCTCTGTAAATTATGCAACTAATTGTTTTGAAATAAAAAGGCAGATGAAAAATAACTTCTGTTTTAAACACAATTCCCTGGCTTTGGGTCTTTAGCTTATTTTTTTGCTAGTTGGGTTAGGTGCAGAAGCAGAGAAGGTAGGTGGGATTTTTTAATTCATTTTTGCCAAGAGCTGTATGTCACCACACCATGCACTACACAGGGCATGGATGGTCTGCAAGATATAGTACCGCTTCAACAGGAAGATGAAACATTAACCAACATTGGTAAGATGAACTTGCAGTGCAAATATACTACAAAGCAACTCCGCAAGATCATTCTACTTTGCATCTTTCATGCTAGAAAGTATTGTAGACCTTCAGCACTTGGCACCATAATATCTTGGCAGATTTTCAGACGTGTGATTTACCACAGTGACAGAACAAGTAAATCAGTGATGAGGTGTTCAGTCATGTCAAGTGTCAATACACTGTATGACTATTATAGCAATTCCAGGTGAGTAAGGGCAGGCACTGGCACTTGGGGATACAGAAGCTTCCCAAATTGGGATAAGCCAGCTGAAACAGAACTGAAATACAGCTGGTGGGAGAAGGAGCACTGTCAGGGATCCGGGTCCAGAAGATTTCTTGCTGTAATTGCATGGAATACAGCCCTTTCTTTAAAAATCATAAACTGCCAGCTACCCAGTTGAAGAGTTTTACTAAGAAGCAGTTTCCAAAAGAAGAGCATGTTTAGGAATGACAGTCACCGAAACTTGTCTATAGCCCTCGGATTTATTTTCCGAGATACATATTTCAACAGAGGAAAGGAAAAGCTGCTTAGCCTATTGTTTACCCAATGAGTAATTACACTGTAATTAAATTTGGTTGATTGTTCTCCTTCACAGTAAGGCAATCCTATTCACTACCCAAGCTTCAAGGGCATCCATAAATATATGTATAAAGATTAGTCTCTGTGTTAAAGGAATGCCCAATATCCTAGTCAAAACCAGGTCCTATCATGCACACACCAGCACTCAAGATTGTGAATAAAACATCCTGTTTGAAAGAGCTTAAGGCCAGATCTACAATGATTACAATCATCCTAATATCTGAACTAGAATGGTATAGGATCTGTGACCCACAATACCACAATACGACAATTTCTATAGTGCGCAAACAGATTTCAGGCGTTGGTGAAGTTGTAATTAAAACAATAAGGAAAATGTATTAACATCTGGAAGACAGGCAATCTGTGATAGCCAATATGACAAATTCGAGCCAGCCATACTAAGAAAAGCAGATGCACAAGAGCGCAAATACAAGCACATACTGAAAAATAAGTATTTCAGTTTATGATGATAAAAAGGAGACCATCAGGACATCCTTTCAGGTAGATGTGCTGTTCAAAGAAAAACACTCCACAAGGGGAAGTAAAATGAATCACTCACAAGAAGTAGTAATGTTGAATTCTTTTAATAACACTAGGAAAATATCATAGTATTAAAATCCTGCATGGGATCCTCAAAAGGTTATTTTGGTTGGGATTTCTTCGTGTTTATAAACCAAACTTTTTTTCCCAATTGTGTTTTCTTTTAAATGAACTACTCCTTTACAATGGTATTTCCAGTTAAAACACAGCTAACCTATAAATACCTGAATACCACAACACACATTGTGTGTGTGGGTTTTGTTTAAATCTTAGCGGAAATAATGGTAAATCTATTCAACAGAGGGAAGCAAACGTTGATTTGTTAAGCGGGGAATGTAACAGCCAGTAAAGAATACATTGCATACATAATACAGAAGGAAAAAAATTATCATCTGGAGTATGTGAAATTACACTGATTTTGCACCTTAAACCTATTAGAAGTACTCTGTTGGCCAATACTAATCCACTGAACAAGCAGAATGTTGGTCAGAAGTCTAACGTTTCCTGTACCAGCACAGAGAGAATATAAGCAGTCCAATGCTGTTAAAAGAAAACATGAAATCCAGCTCATGTTTGTGGTTAGGGATCGATTTCTTCAGGAACTACTGTTAACATAACGTCTTCGTTGCCCCTGCGTACAACCATGTTCAACGTACTGTCCTTTTTAATAATGTCACTGACATCACTGGCTGAACTTATCGACTGTCCATTGATGCTTATAATCACATCGTTGTCCTTCAGGCCACCACTGAAAATACAAAGCAGCAATGTATTATTATAATTGCCATTTTATTGCTTTACAATACAGAGAGAATATAAGCAGTCCAATGCTGTTAAAAGAAAACATGAAATCCAGCTCATGTTTGTGGTTAGGGATCGATTTCTTCAGGAACTACTGTTAACATAACGTCTTCGTTGCCCCTGCGTACAACCATGTTCAACGTACTGTCCTTTTTAATAATGTCACTGACATCACTGGCTGAACTTATCGACTGTCCATTGATGCTTATAATCACATCGTTGTCCTTCAGGCCACCACTGAAAATACAAAGCAGCAATGTATTATTATAATTGCCATTTTATTGTCTTTACAATATTGTTTAAAAAAAAGATTGCTGGATTTTTCCTATTTCCCACCCAACAGCAGTTGCAGAGAGACACAGCGGGCATGCAAAAAGCAATCAGAATTTAAGAAGCGGTGAAGATTACAAAACAATGCAGAAACCTCAGAAATTGGATGGAGGTACAAGTTTGATGAATCCCGTATTTCACTGTCTTCAAAGGAATTTGCTATTGCAAATAGTGCAGTAATTCCGCAATAAGGATCCTAGATGCTGATTCAGTAGAAGAGACAGAGGCATATTTTTCTTTTAAAATAATTGCAACAAGGCACTCATTTTAGAGGGGAAATTTTCCAAGCTTTTATTCGTGTATACATAGCAAAGCAATCTGAGCGGCACCATATGGGAACACATGAGGAATTTCAGTCCCGGATCCACGCTGTTCTCCATGCATAGCTTATTGGCAGCCACTTCACCTTACCTGTGTTTTAAACTTAAGCAGAATAACACACGCAGTGATCTAGCCCAGTCACCAAAAATGCATGCCTGTCCTTCCCCTTGCCCGCCTGCCCGTAGTCCTCAGAATCCCTTCTCCTGACCTCAGCACCACATGCAAACCAAAACCAAAACCCTCCCGACTCAAAGCAAGACAGGGCAGAACCGGAGCCGGCACCACAGGGCTCCCCTGCCCGGGGCTGCGGGTCTCTCCCCCAGCTGGCTGAGACTGCTGCTGGGACCGAGAAACGGGGTGGTGAGGGATACCATCGACCACAATGTCTTGCCCGGTCTTGCACAACGATCTGGCTCCAAGTTATGGAAATATTAACCAAGTAACCAGATCAGACATGATTCAGCCCTTCAGCATAATCCTTCTTCACAAAACCACAGAGCAGTCATCGGCCTCTTCTGCCCGCAGAAAACGCCTTACATGAGTGTCTCCTGCAAGCAGGACGCCTTGGCCAACTTTTGCAACAAATCTGGTTGCCTACCGAAGGCATGGCTTAAAACATTTTCATGGAACAAACCATTCTGGATTATCCTGGTCTCTCATGCAGCGTCTCCTCTCGACTCATACCTAGGACAGGTCGCTGCAGAACTGCTCTGATCCCCTACCCAGCAGGTCTACACAATGCACATTGGAGAGGAAATCAGCAGAACGGGAAAATCCATAGGCAAGGGGACTACGAATGGGGGAGACAGAGCTAACATGGGCTGCATTTTAATTGCCAGGCCAGCCTTTGGATGAAGCATCCTGATTTGAGTTTGCCTTCAAGTTACGGGGCTACATTGCTTCACATTTCTTCTACCTCTCTAATGTCCTTCTCCCACTCTCTGCTAACTATTATCCATACTCCTATAATGATTTTTCTGCACCTTCATATGGGACCTGCATGTCAAGGCAGTAAGTTCAGTGCCACAATGGAGCAGCCACATTATTCCTACGCTAACTGCAGTTTAATTTCACATTACAGACCAGTAATTCTGCATGAACAGCACTGCCAACAAGAATAACCTACACAAAGCAGCAATAATTTAGAAAGCAAGCCTGACAGCTAACACTGTATGTCTTACAGTGGCATCCAAACTGTAACAAAAAGACATCATCCAACCATCCTTGCAGCCTCCCAAAGAGATAACATATGCCTGCTCCAAGCAGCTTTCTGCCTACATGCCTTTGGTGCTACATACGCCTCTTTCTTGCCACAAAGATTTACTCTTCTCTTAAATGATCTCTAGTTTCAGAAAATGAATAAAGTTTCCTATTTCCTACCCTGGATTACTAAGCGGTTTTGTATTAACCGAACTCTGAAGGGAAAGTGTCTCCAGCAAGAGCCAGCCAGACCAGTGCAGGTGACCACAGACCAGATGCTGTACTTCAGCCAGGCATCTCGTGAGGCGTGGTACCAACCAGCAGGTGAGGTTCTGAACAAATACTGAATAATACAAAGAAAAAGACCAGTTGGCCAAAACCAAAAGCACTTCCTAGTAACGTGACTCCTGACAAAGCTCTCACATGGAAGAGTATCTTGTGCCAAGAGAGGATTTCACCCCCGATAGAGGCATGCCAGGAGAGCTGGTGGGTTTGCCCAACACTGAGGTGCTTGGGCTGAGATGGACACGTCTTCACAAGGTGGAAGCAAAGCTTCTCCCTTGCTCTTCTACAGGAGTGACCAGCAGGGCCATGGGGAGCATGCACAAGCAAACGTCTTTATTCAGCGCTGGCATTGGTACAACAGATGTCTTGGAAGCAATCTCTCAGAAAAATGAAAATTGAGTTTTCACGCCCACTGAATCCTCGCACTTTCGGCCAGGAACGCTGACAGGGCTTCGCTGCAATACCCTGATACGTTTGCAATATTGCCCACTGGGGACTGGACTGAAACCACAAACCGATTTCCAGCAGACAACCTAATAGCTATCAGATGGTTGTAATTTTGTTAATTTAGCATAATCAAGATAGCCAGTTAAGCAGAGAACATTCTCCATCATTACCCCCTTAAGTCAGTGGCAGTGGTTTTGAGAAAAAAGTAGTTCAACTTACGCTTCAGCTGGTGTTTCTGGAATTACTTCAATAACATAGGCCCCAGAGACAACATCAGGAAAGTCTTTATGGCGATCCTTCAGCTCTCTAGCTTTGCTGGAAAATGAAGAAACAGCAACAAAAATATTTTGACAAGATAGGGGGAAAAAAAAAATCACGCATTTTTACTTAGTTAACTCACTTAACATTCACTAGCTGAGGTATTTTACACATGTTGATGTGACACTTCACAATTCATTTTAACCCTTAGAAGTATTTCAAGAATTTTTACACTTTTTGCGTGCATACAGCTTTTTAATGCCTATTTCTGGTAAAGACCATCATTTCAATAAATACAGAGGATCTGAGTTAAAACATTTCAAAACTTGGTCGTTATTTTAGAACTAGAAGATCCTGAACACCTAAAAACACCTAAAAAAACCCCTTCAGTTTTCAATGCTTTGTTATACATCTCATCCTGCACCTGCACATGTAAAAACTTCTAGGTATTTCTACAGGACGTAGTATCACCTGCTCATGAGCCTTTTCTGGTTTGAGTATGAATAAACAAGTCCACACAAAAGCTTCATTTTACATTAAGTGAATTGTTCAATGAAAATAATTTTATATAAATGGAAATATGCACGTAGCTGCTGTAATTCTTGAAAACATACTGTCTTGTTTTCTCCTTGACCCTCATGACAGCACAGGACAGCTGGTAACAACTATGATAGAGCCCCAGGGCAAATTAACAATTGCTAACTATTCTCTTCTGAAGCATTAAGGAAAAGAAAAAGCCAGGGAGTTGTTTAAAAACTAGCTCATAGAGTCTAGAGGAGAGTTCAACCATGTAGCAGATGCGGAGAAAAAGGTAGCAAAAATTGGCTGTGAGTTGTCACCAGCACCTAAAGAGGCACACGCTGCTGGTTCGAGCCTCCTGGTTGTTTCTGCAGATCATGAGCTTGATCCAAATGCATGCAGTGACCACACGTCGGAAAGGTGAGGAACCACCACTCTTACTTACCTAGGAGTTAGAGACATCATTCGAATGCCAATGTATTTCTTTTTGGTTATAGCTTTTCCTACAAAAAGGAAAACAGGTCTTGATCAACTGCTCTTACCATAAAGAGAGCCTCAACGGCTGTTGACTTTCTGTTTTATTACTACTTTCATGTTTTTCTCTTTCAAAGCAGTGAAGTACAGTACCTTTAGCTTGTCTGTCATCGGATTCAGTTAGGAACTTTTTGATTTTATCCGATGGGATAGCAAATGAGATCCCTGCTGTAACTTTTAATGTGTTAATTCCTATGACTTCACCATCCTGGAGAAATAAGAAATTGTTATTAGCAAACGCGAAACGTCTTGAAGAGAAACGGATGATTTCTTCCAAGCAATCACAAAGACAAATTCATACAACACATTCTGTAACTGGTTTTCAATTTTCTAAATGGTTTCTTTAAGTCTAATTTCTCTGAATCATCTACTGATAAAAAACTATTCTACTATTTTGGAAAACCGATGTCAATATTCATATTGCCACTAGCAGAAGAAAGATCAGAATTGGGCAGCTCTCCAGCTTGCAGCAGACGAGCAGCATATTCTACAGCCAATTTCGGTCTGTTTATTTCAGCAGGCACCTCGCGAAGCATGGCACCGATCAGCCGGTGAGGTGCTGAGCAAATATCACATAATAATATAAAGAAAAATGACACTTCAGCGACAATCAAAAGCTTTTCCCGGTAATGTGACTCCAAGACAGAATTTCAGATTAAACATCACTGCTGACACCTGATGATTTGAACACTTCCAAAATCTCAGCAGCTTCCTTCCCTGATCTATCCCAGATAAAAACTAGCCAACTACAATTTTTTAAATGGAGGTTACTGGTGCTGAAATTGTACTGCAAGTTGGGTGAAAAAAAATTGCCAAATCTCCAAGGCAGAAACTCTGACTAGTTCCTTCTTCCAATTTGTGCCGTCCCCCACTGAGGACCACTGCCTCTCCTCTGTTCAACCCCGCGTGCCCCCGTCTGAGAGCTCTCACACAGCAGTTGGGTTTTGCAACCTGCTTCAGTTGCTCTCTCTTGGGCTTATCCACAGCTGCTGCAAGGTCAGTGCTGACTACGTTCTACAATATGAGCAAATAAACCCTGATAAATACGCGGGTTTTTCAACCCCCTCAGTGTGATTCAAAATAAAGGGGTAGATATGTTTTTGAACCATTAAGCTGAGTTTCAGTATGCAAAAAAATATATTGCTGCCTGCATGGTATACAGTGAGGGCAAACACCTCAACCTTAAAATGTGCTTTTTACAAGGCATGGGCAAAAAAAATTAGGCATTACACTTGCTCAAAACTATGCAAACCATAAGCACCTTAAATACTGAAATGCAAGCACATCTTGTGATTTGCCAACATAAACACAGACAAGTGATTCGTAAGAACCATGCAAATTTTGTGTAGTCAGACAGATATCGAATACTCTGAATCACATTTCTGGTGTGGGGTTTTGTTTGTGTATTTGTTTGGGTGGGGTTTTTTGGTTTTGTTTTTAAACTAAAAAGTAAAAATTAAAAAGCTTAACACTAAGCAAACAAACATAAACTCTTACCAGATTTACTAGGGGTCCTCCGGAGTTTCCATACTGAAAATAAACATATGGCAAGAACATGTTTTAATATCTACCTCTTAATTCATGGCAAGCAAAACATAAAAGAAATTTTTGAAATATTTCTGCAGTAATTTTTTCATTGTCTATTAAATACGTGCAATAGAACAGTCTTAACATCCAAACCCATTAACTACACTTAACATCATCCCTTTCAGCTGAGCTTTGCAAACGCTTAGTCCTTCTTCTCTTGCCAGAGTAAGTTAAGAAAGCCAAGGTTTTTCTTTTGTTTTAATAGTACCACACTAGCAACTTACAAGATTTTAGGACAGCTCTGGGAGCTGTTACTGAAGATTTCTTACAAGGCCAACAGTATAAGTACAAAAACTATTGTTTTGCCTTAATGCAGAAACAAACTTGAATCCTTAAACTAAGCCTGGCTTTTTTTTTTTAGAAAACATGATAGATTTCAAAGAGAGACTTATTTGCCAGAGAATATCGCCTCCCCCTTGTAATTTATAAGAATTTTGAAGTGAAGGCAGATACTGTACTTGCTGTGGTTTTAAATAACAATCGAGTGCTGCTGCAGCACAGATGTCCGTATTTACATGGATGAAAGAAAAGCCAACTATGCTCAACTGTTCTTAAGAACTGTATCACTGGTGAAATTTTCAAAGCAACTATTCAAGAAATTTAAGAGCTGAAGGGGACGAGGCTCAGAGCAGGACGTACGTTGATGATGGCATCGGTCTGAATATAGTCCATATCGGAGTTGCGGAGCCCCAGCTCCTTCCCTCCACGCTGAGTGGTACTAACAATCCCCGTAGTCACTGTGTTTTGAAGAGAAAATGGACTTCCAATTGCGACCACAAATTCTCCTGGTCTCAAGTCTGCAGACTGACCAAGCAGAAGAACTGGCAATTTACCCTACAAATCAAAATGAAAAAAAATTAAAAAACAAAATTCAAATGTTGTTAAGACACTACTACACCAGTAGAACAAATTCTACAGAAATGTGACTACATTAATAGAGCAGAGGAAAAAAGAAAGGCTTTTATTCCTTGGGAATTTTGCTCGCTCTGTTTTCTTTGAATATTTCATGTGGCTCTGTACAGAAACATCTCAACGAACTTCTGCTCTAAAGGGTGGGCTCTTTAGACTGCAGGAGTACTTTTTCCACAACGGGTACCCATTAAACCAAAAACAATTAAAAGACCAAAGGAATATTAATGCTCTGCTGTACAAAGCAAACATCTGATGATACTAGGAATGAGTTGTTTCCAACAGCTTCTTGAAATAATTAGCCAACAGCTGCTAAAGCAAAAATAATATATTAAGAGTGAACACTAAAAAGTCATGAAAGCAAAGTGTATCAAACATGCATATGTGTAGTTAAAAGCATTTTATATTCTCATAAGACACCACCTGATGTTTCATCTTATGTTTTTTTTCAATGGAGTATCTCTTCTAAATAATTATATTGCCTCCTACATACACTGATGTCTTCTTCTGAAGATGTTAGGATTTAAAGATTTTATGGGATTTTTCTGTTATGACAGTAGGGGATACCATTATATTTTGCTTTCAAGATCTCATCTCTAAACATATTAACTATCATGTTATTGAAGACATTCCCACTAAGACACAAAACATTCTTAAAATCCAGCAACAATAGAGATCACTGCAATTTACAGCAATTAAAAAAAAAGAGGAGGGAAGGTTGGATCCACACACCCTTGCCAATGCAATGGATCAAGGGAACCGAGTATGGTTTCTCCAAGACATGTTGTATCCGCACAGGAACTGAACTGGCTGGATAACAGATGATTCAAACTGGACCAATAAACCCCCCGCAGCAATCAGAAAACAGCTTGGAAGTTCTTAAGGCCTCCTACTCACCAAATAATTATGAAGGGTGTTCTGAAACAGATCATATTTCAAATAAATTCTTTGCCTTTATTTATCACCTGCCTGTAAAATACACATTGAGCTCCACTTCTCCTTTGCTTTGCATTTTTAAAAATCAGTCTTTACCCTTTCAGTGATGTTACACGTTTTTCACTCCTTTTATGTTTGTCCAAATGATCCTGACCCTCCCCAGGTATTTAACTACATATTTAATCATGTCACTAGACTATTTCTATTAGCATCAATGGACCTGGACATGTATAAATTCAGGTTTCCACTTAAGGATTTGGAGGATTAGGAGGTTACTGAACCCAAAATCAAAACAGAAGTCTGAAGGGATGTATCTTTGCTTGGAAAACCTAACTTTAACATAGCTTTCCTCCAAGCTCGGCCCACTTCAAAATTCTTTCCTTTGCTCAACAAACCCGTCCCCAATAGTATAAACTTTCAAAACAGGCCAATGATTCTAGATGCAGTGGAAGCCCCACCTAGAGATTAACTTAAGCCAATTTCCAAGGAGTGGGTAACATAGTCACTTTATTAAAAAACAGCGTACCTTCAAGGTATTCTTGAGCTGTGTACCTAAAATGGAGGTACATATTGGCTTAATACCCCTTCTTGTAATTCACTCCTTCTGGAAAACTTCCGGAAGGTGCCTTTTTCATCCCATACCTGTTCCAAAGCACACAAATTTGTGCACCTATACTTGATGGGATGCAAAAGGTATATACTGTGTGCTCACGTAGCAAAGAAACACGGTAATATTTAGTATGCCCTGATTATTTGTACAGATTCCCAAGTTAAGTGATAATTTTGTTTCAGAAGTTAATAGAAGCTGAATCATTACTAAATTTTGGCAAAAAGGGAAAATATTATGTGTTTAAATTGGAAATCGAGAGCTAGCTCTTTAGGAGTCTTTTGTCAGCAGCAGTTTGAAAGCCTGTATTGGTAAGTCACCCTTAGGGACAAAAATCCACTGATATAAACTAACCCAAATGCCCATCACTTTGTATTTTTCACCTACAGTTTTATTTCAAATGTCCTAGAAGATACACAATGTCTGTAAAGTAGAAAGTAAAAAATAAAGGCATCAGTCATCACTATATGCTGCTGCAAATACAGAAGTTATGGTTTTATTATATTTAACAAGCCTGGTCCTGTGTATCCTTTATCCAACTTTGTTACAATTCCACCAGCAAAATTTTACTCAGATGAACAGACTGTTTCAGTAAAACTCATTGCCAAATTCCAGACAGGATAAGATGCTTGATGGAAACTTATCTTTTAGTCTCCAGATAGCAAGAAAATAATTAACCAACTGCTTGTTAAACAGAATCAGTTGGAAGAGCAACAGAATAGGCAACACAGTAAGGAGAAAAACATTTCCCTTTGTAATTATCCCTATATTATGAGGAAAGTTTTCACAACCAGCAGTACCCTACTATTAAATAATAATTATCCATGGTCCCTATCAAGTGCCACAGCCATAGATAAACCCAACCAAGGCTGTGGTTTAATTCTGAGAAGGATTGTCCTGGTTTCGGCAGGGATAGAGTTAATTTCCTTCCTAGTAGCTGGTACAGTGCTGTGTTTTGGATTTAGGGTGAGAACAGTGTTGATAACACACCGATGTTTTAGTTGTTGCTAGGTA